CTGGTTTCTTATCATGTCTTAAATTGAACATGCAGCCTGATTCCAGCTGTATTCCAGGCTTGGTTGACAACCCCTCATATTGGCAGGCTGACAGCCATGGGGTACAGCCCTACATGGGACTGCAGTATGCTGTTTTCAGGGTGCCAAATCAAAGGGAACACATCAGCTGCGCCAGAGTGCCAGTTTGAAGGGAGCCATGGAGCTCCCAGCAACCCAACAGGTTGTTTGCTTTGCTCCACAGCTCCTAGAGGCATGCAGCCTGGTCACGGAGAAACTGGTACTGGAGAGAGGTTCCCTGGTCCTAGGGTCCCCTTGTGCTCATACATTTAAAAACTGTATGAGCAGTCTAGCTGCACACGCAATTTTCTGACATCCATGGCACATAGACACCCTGGGACTGGGGAACTGGTCTTGGATCCTAGGGCCCCAGTATACTGAGACCTTAAACAACTGTGTGTGTGTAGCTCAGCTGCAAACAAGGTTTTCTGACATCGTAGTGCATGAGGCTCTGCAACCAGTCCCAGTGTGATCCCAGGGCTGGGACCCTGGGATCAGAGGATTATGGGTCCCAACCACAGGAACGCACCAGAGTCTCCAACTGGCTCCCCCTGCACTGGGAAGTAGTAATGACACCATTGGAGTCTGATCCCCAATCCCAGAATCGTGCATCCTGCCATGCAAGCCTGGCATGGCAAGAGGCACAGTTGTTGGCATTGGGGATCATACACACTGCACCATTAAATGAACATGTGCCAGGGGCCTGAGTATCCTAGTCCAGTGTCCTAACCACCAGAGCAGGTCAGTGAGGCCTTGTATTACTGCTAAAAACATATGGTTAACTTAAATGTGAAGCTATCCTGAGGTAAAAATACAGTGAAGACAGCACATTTCATTTTACATCAGCGTCAGTATGGCAAAATCAGCACCTTATTTCCCCTTGTGTTTGATCTCACCAGCTTTATCATGAGATTAAACTAAAATTTCTTATTCTTACTGTCTTTACCCTTGGATAGGTCACACACACTAATTACACAGCCAAAAACTAGCTATTTTAGCAGTGAAGACAGAGCAAGAGTCAGCCTGTTCTGTATCTGTTTATCTCAGTCTAGAAACCTTGATGAAAACTGTGCTTGAACTGGAATATATCTGTAAAACTTTTCAGCTTTGACAAGAAGATTCCAGCTAGCTCTTCTTGGTTTTGAAATTGGCCTCATCCCTACTAATCTTGAAAGCTGGTTGTGCTGCTCCCTGTTCCAGATAGATTGGGAATCTTGAAAGAGAGCCAAAATATATGAATAGGGAGTCGCGTTCTGCATATACCTAGGTGGCAAGCAGGATTTCTTTTAAGTAATGTAGACCAGCAGTCAAGAATAAGAAAAGCAATTGAGACTGAATGATCACATGAAGCAAATCATAGCATGTGAATTAGTGGATTTGTCTTGCTTAACCAAAAATCTGAAATTAATTTTGCTGGTTTGTCAGGCTTTCTTAAAGTGGAGATGTTAATGTTCTCTGCCCTAATGATTCACTATTGTCTTTAAATATGTATTCTCTCTTTCCTGTCTTCCAAAAAATGTTCCACATATCTGAGAGCAATGATTGTAGGTCTTTGACAGATAATGGATTGCTCGCATTGGACATCAGATTCCACAAGCAGTGGGGGCAACTGGAAGCCTTCCTACACTACCTTTTTTATGTCCTTTTCTTTTGGAGGAACACAGGCTGAATTGCAATCAGAATCTGTACCTTGGACTTGGCTCCTGATGCCTTTGAGAATGGTAGTTGTTGCAATTAGGGGGGTGTCTACACGAGATGCTACTACACAGTCATTACTGCACATTTATTTAGTACTTGTATAATCAAGTACTAAATAAAATGTGCAGTCAGTGGAGTTACTGCATAGTAGCACCGGTGAGCACCTTTTAAGTGATGCTACTGTGCAGTAGCCTAATACTACTGTGCAGTAGCATCTCAGCACAGTTTTTGCCACACAGTGCTACTGCACAGTAGTATCTGGCTACTGAGCAGTCGCACACACCACTCAACTAAGACCTAGATTAGGATCATTTTATATTTACTCAGCAAGAGTTGACAGAAAGCAAAAAATGTGCAGGTGTTAAGCAGGTTTATATTGGGCACCAGGAGGTGAAAGGATCTGCATTCTGTTACCAGCCCTTTGAGTCAGCCAAGTCTTCAAGCACTAACTGTTGAACTCAGTAATTGTTGGCGAACACACATAACAAGCTGGTTGACAAACAAACCAGTGAGAAAATGTGTTTGACATATAAGATAACTAACCTGAAATGCAAGTACAAGCATCATCTATACCATTTTAAAGGTGTGTACACAGAGGCAGAGAAACACATAATTTGACCAGAGAAAGAGAGAGACACCGGTACAGTCTAAAATACAATAAAGCATCCTGAATATTTGTCCCTGCTCTGACCCCTGGACTTACTATGATTGTTTTGGTAGATTGTGCCTATTTTCAGTCTTTTTGCTGATTGGTACCATAAGAAATCTATTTACCAAATAAAACATAAGAATGATTTCCTTACTTTGTGGTACTAATGGCATTATTAACAATGATAACACTTTGCATCTTCAAACTCCCTGGCTATCATTAATGAGTTACCAGTAGTTCTGCAAGCTTAAGCCATTATTTTAATAGCATGTAATATAAATATATTTGGTATCAACAAAAGATAATGTAAAGCGATGATTCTGTATATATTATGAGATATGTTGTTGGCCTGATACAGGCAAGTATTAATAGATTGTATTAAATATTTACAGCCTGGAAGTATAGAATTAAAAGATAAGTATATATTCCAATAAATTTTTTGCATAAGTGGGATGCTGCTTTTATGAAAATTTTGTGGAGCTAAAATATTAAACTTTATGTGGGTATTTATATTTTTTGCCTGTTTTAACAGCAGTGGTATTGCAGATACTTACACATGAATTTAATCTTTAAACAGTTATGGCAAATGCATGCTTTAAAACCCAAGCTGTGGATGCTAGCAGAAAGTAAGGACCTTTTTTAAAGTGGTTGAAATGTATATGCTTTGAAGGTATCCTTGTATTGTGTGCCAAAAAGGAGAAACCTTTAGTTCCTTCTTATATCTACCATATATAAATTTACAATAATAAGATTATTTCTAAGAAATAGTGTCAGGATTGGCATATTCAAGGGACTAAGAGTCATGATAATTACTTCCTAGGTTTTTTCCTTCACTTGTCTCTAAGCTTTAGTAGCTTCTCCCAGTGGTTGGTACAGTGGTTGAAACAGCTAATTATGTATCCATAAACTGTAATGTCAAAGGATTAATGTGGCCCTGGGACCATGGGTCAAATCTGCTTTAGATCACAAGAGCTTGAGCTCAGCTCCTAGTTGAAATATCACAAAGCTACCTTGTAATTTAATCCACGCCTTGCATTCTTATACCTCAGCTGTTGGCTGTCTTGAATAAAAGAGACCTATGATTGATTTCCCTGAGAGGTTTTTTAATTGTTTTTTTATTTGGTTTGGTTTGGTTTGGTTTTGGTTTGTTTCTTTTTTTTAAATTTGCAAATAAGGTAGTGTGAGCTGGAAAGTTTAGGGAATCTAAAAAGGTTCCTGCCTTCAACATGAATAACCCTTTTAAAGTCCTATCTTGAAGTTGTTATAGAAAATGTATTATGGCACAGGGTTGGCGTTCTACACGTTCCTTTTATGTCTTACATTAAAATGCCCTGATCTTGCAAAGTGTTCTTCATGGCCTGGGCTGGGTTTCCATTCCCTGAATTCAGTGGGGCTACACCCAGGCAGTGGGATCTACCTTTTGCAGATCAAAGCCTACTAGAAACTCTTTCATGTTAAATACTAGATTTTTTTACTAACTCCTATGATAAATGGAACAGTTGAAAGGCATCTGGGTGGTCTTGTAACTGGGCAGAAGTAATGGCTTTCCTCATCTACATTTACTCTGAGTATTGTATGACATTTAGCAAGGCCCCCAGTGGTCTCATTATAACATCCATATCCTTTGCTTATTGTGTCATCTTGATACTTCTGTTAACCATAGTAGTTGTATAGCTTTTCAGGTGTTTCCTATATGAATGCATACAGTATTCCACATTTCTGAAAAAAATGGCAGGAATTCTCTGAAACTATTGATACAATTTCACAATGGGCTGAAATTAAAAAATAGAATCTTTTTATAATTAAATGTTTCCAGCTAAGGAAACAGCTAGGGTACAGGGGGTGTTAAGTCTATGATCAGAGCATATTCTATCCTTTATGAGTTCAAATCACTGTGAAGCTTCAAAATACACATAGTACAAAATTATAGCCTGTACTATGGAACATTGTACTCATCTCAGTAATGAAGAAGTAGGCTGTAGCCTACAAAGCTTATAGCTTTCTCAACAAGTTAATCTTTGAGGTGCTACCCTGCCTTGCCTTCTGCCAGACTTCAAACTAATACAGCTAACTACCTCTCCTCACAGTAAATATGTTAGTTATGTTTATAGCTCTACCATATAAAGATCTACCTTAATATGGCCAAACTATCAGACTGAAAAAGAAATTATGTGGTGATTATGATTTTCAGTTAATTTTCTCCTGTATGGAATCGGTGGTCTAATCAGATCATTAAAATAAAAAAACTTTGCACTGAAACAAAAATGACAATTTCTGTGCAGTGCCCTCTTGTGGTATCACCATCTTTATGTAACAAATGACTGTAGCATCACTCACTTCTTTCTAAATTGCACCTGGAGCCCAACCTGGTACACTGATGAATAGCTCTAATTCCCACTGAAATCAGTCTGAATAGAAGTCTCTTCTCACCTTTCAGAATCAGGCCATTGAGCATCTCCTACAACATAAGGGTGCATTGAGTTACTAATATATCCAACTTCACTTTAGAAAGGGACCCCTGAAAAGTTTGTCTTTTCCTAAATTTGATATTGTGCTGGAGGACTTCCCTGACCTTCTTCTTCTTGTGGCCCAACAGGTTCTTCGCTCTGTACTGCTGTTTCCAACAATAGAGCGCATGGCTCAGTCCCCTAAAGGCAAGTTCATGACACCTCTGCTGTGCAAGCTGCGGTACATTCTGTACATGCCGGTCTACCTGCTATCGTTTCTGCCAGAAAGAGCCAAAACTTCCTTAGTGCGGTTTGCATTGCGAGGGCTTAAGTGTCCTGATGAAGCTTCAATAGCTACCTCCATAAATCTCTTCAGCGTGGACTGCACTGGTGAGCAAATTTTTTCTCTTGCTTTCTTCTTTTTAACTATCTCTATTTTCCATCACACTGCTTTGACAAATGGGTGAATTAGAAATTGCAGAGCGTGAGAGTCATTAAAAACGAGCTTCGTCCTAAAACATGAACAAATATCCAAGAATTTTTTAAATGCAGGCTGGATTTGTCTGTGTCCCAAAGTCTTTTTCTCATCTCAAGTTAAAATTTTTACAAAAGATGCAGGGGAATTTGAAATAGGTCATAAACCAGTACTTTGAATAGGTCCATGACATGATCCACGATACTTGGAATTTTAGGGACACTCAGAATCAGGGAATTCTGAACTTGGTTGTATGCCTCCAAAACAAATGTTTTTTAAAAGAAGAAAGTTTGGAAATGTATATTTCTGCAAAACACATCTGAAAAGTAAACCATTACCTTCACTATTAACAACACATGCCCTGGTTCAAATAAATGCATTTTATTCAGATTTAATAGTGCAAATGGACTAATTAATTTCACACTTGTTTATACTTAATTTTCTTTCTGGCTGTATTTAATTTAACATTCATATGGGAGTGTTATTAAACCTAGAAAAGTGCCCTCCTCTTGCAAGCATGCATGAGTAACTTTATGCGTATATGGAATTCTGTTCTCCGGAGCAAGGCAGAAAAATGATATTCTTCAAATTCTTCAAATGCCTTGTTGGACTTGGTGTTGGCCACGGGCGACAACCTGGTGAGGGGGCTGCGGGTGCTTGACCCCCTGGGCGACAGTGACCACTGCCTGCTAGAATTCACCATTCAGCGCAAGGTGGCAAAGGCAAGCAGTCAGGTGGTAGCCCTAGATTTTAGGAGGGTGAACTTCAACGAGCTAAGGAGGATAGTTGGAGAAGCGCTGAAGTCTCAGAGGGGAGGGGAGCCGGGTGTCCAAAGGGAGTGGTCGCTCCTTAAGGAGACGATCCTCCAAGCCCAGAGGAAGGTAGTCCCCAGGAGGGTCAAAGGGGGCAGGAGAGCATATAAGCCTCCATGGCTCACTAAAAACATCCGGGAATGTCTCCTTGCCAAAAAGGAGGCTTACTCCCAATGGAAAGGAGGGGTCATCACTAAGGAG